AAACCCACGTGTTTTTGCTGATGGGAACTTGGGTCCCCCTCGCAGTGCGGGTGCAGCGAGCTGTTTGGCTGATGCAGGGCGGAGTGCACGCGCTGGGGTGTACAGTTTAACCATGTCCTGGATGTAGGAAGGGCCAGATCCATTCGCAGCTTGGTACGCAAGTACCAGTGTCTTGAAGTGGATTCTAGCAGTTACCGGAAGCCAGTGAAGGGAGCGGAGGAGCGGCGTGGTGTGGGAGAATTTAGGAAGGTTCTAGACCAGACTGCCAAGGCACACATGGATGAGCTGCAGAGGTCGGATGGCACATGCAGGTAGACCAGCTAGGAGGGAGTTGCAGTAGTCTAGGCGTGAGATGACGAGAGCCTGGGCCAGAACCTGCGTCGCTTTCTGGGTCAGCTGGGGACGTATCCTGCATTTACATGCAGATAAACTTTTATAACACACTAAAGGAAAGGGAAAACCCAAAAGAGCATCATAGGGCCTCTTTAAACTGAATGCTATACTAAGTGTAGTGTTTTTCTATATTCATTCTAAACCATCGCCTATTCTCATGTTAGATTGTGGCCATTTTTAGAAAAGGTTTCCAGGCACCTGTATGTGAAGATACTAATTGTTGTTTGGTGGTGATTTTTAATCAATGTAAAATAATAATAACAAGTCAACCGTGCATACGTCATTTTCAATACTTTAGACTTATTAAGATATCTTCTGTTATTTTAAATTCTATACAATATAATTTCTGTTGTTATAATGCAATGGAATGAGCTCTGATCTCACCGGGGTCCTCCTGAAGCTACTTCAGAGAGTTCCTCTATATAGACCCTCCAGAAAAACGCGGGCTAAAATCCTTGATTATGCGATTAAACATGCAGGGTTTTTATGTGATTTTATGCGGTGAAATTGCGAAATATGCGGAAAGTTGCGAAAAGGAATAGATTTTTTTTTAAATATTGGGCTGTCTTATTTATTCTCTCTCACACAAAACCTGCCACTAACGTTAAACCCCTTTCCTATTCAATTAAACACATTCAATGTTTATTTATTGTAAAAGCAATTGGGCTATGTTAATCACACACACACACACACACACACACACACACACACACACACACACACAGACACACACACAGACACACACACACCCCCCACACGCACACACTTCTCCGCCTCATTCTGTTTTCATTTACTCGTTCGTTATCTGACCAGCTTCAATCTTGTAGGCTACTCACCTCGTTTCTTGTAGCCCTCGAAAGGGTTTTGGAGGTTGATGCCTCGGTGAACGTGAGTTGTTTGGCTTTCTTGTCCGCAGAAGCCGAAAGCATTTTCGAATGTTTGAATGAATCAAAGTGGGTCGTCACCGTCGACTTTCTCTTAGACTTATGCTCCAACACACAGTTGCACGGGGTGCAGAATAGTTTCCCCCCACTTTCGTGAAAGACATCGGGGTACTGCTTTGCCCGGTCTTTAGCAGAAATGTTCGTCGGTAAATGAGATGGATCAGATTTTTTCATCTTGGTGTTTTCTCTCTCGTGTGAGTTCCACACGTTCACTCTACGGTGTTGTTTACCTTCTGTGATCCGCGAGCTGATGACGTCACGTCATCATCATCACTACATCACGTCAAGACGAGTTAACTTTTTTTTCTCTCAACTTTGTGTGGAAAAATGCAGGGATTATGCGGCCTTTTGATAAATATGCCGCCTTTTAAAAATCTGCGCCATTTTGCTGATTATGTGGTAAATTCTGCGATCGCAGGGTCGCGTTTTTCTGGAGGGTCTATCTATAGAACCACTGCTGTAACTGGAGTGCCTCTGTTTCAGTTTGAGAAGTCGTCGCGGATCTCCAGAGAGGCGGAGGACCAGCTGAAGGTCATTCCCCAGTTCTGCTTCCCCGACTCTCAGGACTGGAAGCCCTCCTCAAACACTCCAAGGTCAGCACATGCAGTACAGTCATACTTTTAATTGCATGCTAGGTGTACACAGAAGTAATCATCCCTAAGGCACCATGGTAACATGATACTGTCTTTTCATCTTTCATCATTTCCTTTATGTCTGCTTTTGTTGTCATTATACACACACCTTTCATGTGCTCTAATAAATGTTGTCTAACTTTTCTTTCCTGTACACTATTTAGATAAGATCAAGCACTGTAATTAACACTTGTTTTATGTTTAATACCCCCATTTCCTTCTTTCTTATTTATATCCTCAGCTGTGGCCCTGATGTTGCAACAGCTGAAATTCCCCACAGTGATAATTAAAATTTCAACCGAGTGAATTCAATCTCTAAGTGCTATGGGGCAGTGTGCATTCTTATTTTATTTTATGTTTCACTACGGGGATGATTGTTGCAATGTGGGTTATGATGTCAACTTACACTGCCTTCCTGTAATTAAAACACTTTTTATTTGGTAGTGCAAACAAATAAAAGACACACCTACCACGCACCATTTATCTAGTTTCTGCATTACTATTTCTATTTCATTATTTGTTATCAACTTGTTCCCAAAGATGTTTTCTCAATCTCTTTTTTTGGCTTTTACATAAGGAAATACAGACGTTTTAACATTAGTGATGTTTTTTATTTTTTATTTTGGGAACCAGTGCCTTTATTGAAGTGACAGTGCAGAAAGGAGGGACAGTAGGAGTGACATGCGGTGAAAACTGCATTTTTTTAAGCAGTTATAAGTCATATAAAATCCTTTAAACGTAATTTCCTGTGTTTTGATCGAATTGTTTGTAATGTTGTTCACAGTGAGACCTTCTCCTTTGTCCTGACCTCAGAGGATGGGAGCCGCTGGTTCTGTTACTGCCGGAAGATCTTGGTGAGTGGCTGTGTTAACATTTCAATCTGAACCATTGGATCCGTAGCTCTGTGTGTGACGACATGGCAGCCGGCCACATGCTTACTCCAGCTCTCTGTACATCTGATTCACACACCATAAACCACTTCTGAATCAATGACACAAGGCCAGAAGAATGTCATCTTTTCCCCTTTCTTTGCCCCACAACGAGAGCTGCTTGTAGGTCTTTTCAAGACACTTTTCGAAACACTTCTTTAGATTAACATGCTGTGTATCTGCCTTTCTTCTTTTAATGTTGCGTCATGTTTGTTTATATCCTAATGATCATACTGTGGTTGTCTTGTTGAGCTCTCTGTAACTATGTTTTCTTTTGCTTATTCAATCTTTAGTGCAGACTAACATGAAGAGTTCTGTTTGTTTTGTTGGCAGATAAGCTCACTGCTACTATCATAAAAGTTTAGACTTTAAACTCTTTGTTTATCCAACACAAGGTTATCGCTATTAAACGTATTATATGGGCTTTTCATAAGAACCTGACTGTACTTCATGATGTAGTAATCGATGTTTTTGCAATTGAACACCCTTACAATTTCCTTATACACCGCTGTCGACATAGAGACAGCTGTGACATTTAATTTGCATTTGTTATGAATTCTTTACTTATGATAATGCAACAAGACAGAGCAAGCCTGTATTACTTACTATTCCCTAGAGGCTGCTGAGCACTGTTGGTGTTACTTCAGCAACAAGGCAAGTTTTCTGTCAATCAGGAAAGTTCAGTAAATCACAGAGACTCAAGGGAGAGAAGCCTGAGGGCATCAGGAAACAGAAAACATGTTCTGAGTTAAATATAATCCACCATCACCAAAATTAACTTAGTCTTTAAAGCCTCACACACTTGTCCCTGGGGATGATACGGGAATGTGACACAGTCATGAACAGCTGTCAAATGTGCAGAGTGGGACAAGTCAGTGTAGCATCAAAACGAAACAATTATTTGAAGGTAAAATAGACAGGTTTCTTTAATGTTAACATATTGTTTACTTTTTAAAGATTACTTTGGCCAAGTACCAGTACATGGGCCGCCAGTCCTCCAATGAAGCTCTATGGCGGCCCTAGTGCTAATATATTCAACGTGTTTAGCATATTTATCCTATCTGCTACTTGCTTTCTGACATGAAACTGTTTGTGTCGTTCAGCCCATTGGAAAAGGGAAGAGGCTTCCCGAAGTGCACTGTATCGTCAGCAAACTGGGCTGCTTCAACCTCTTTGCAAAGGTAATGCTACTATAAAGGAAGCTTTTGTTGGGAGATGAAAAGGAGCTGCCTTTGCTAAAGTTCAATGGGACCCCTCTAGAAGTGTGTGTGAAAGCTGCTGCCTTGAAACTCCTTGTATGTATGAGGATGGAATGACGTTAACCTAGAAGATAATCCTGAGCAATCCCTGGGTGTGCCTGATATTCTATACATGCAGCTGGGTCACACCCATTTTTACAGTTGGCCGGGTTTTATTTGCAAACAGTAAATGTGGATTAGCAAGGAGGAAAACATCTGCGCCACTGTGTGTTTAATCTGCTCTCAGGATAGTCAGTGTTTGTCTTTCTGTCTGTTCAGATTTTGGAGGAGGTGGAGAGGCGCAGGGAGATCTCCCCAGCGCTGGTTTACCCATTTATGCGCAGCGTAATGGAGGCCCCCTTTCCAGCCCCCGGGCGCACAGTCACCATCAAGAGCTTCCTGCCTGGCTCAGGGAATGAGGTAACCCTGAAACCAAAATGGGAAACGATGATTAGTGTTTTTGTTCTTCCTAACCACATCTTTCTGCAGACTCACAATGACTCAGAATGGGAGGTTTTTTGTGCAAACAATAGGGGTAGCAATTACGGCTTTGAAAGGTTCATGTTGGGACAGATTTATTTATTAACAGACAACAATCATCAATGTAGTCATTACTGTTTGCAGATTCTAAATAAGTCAAGTAATAAACATCTTCAGGAGTTCAGAGGAAGTGCTGCAGAATCACTGCTTTCTTCTCTTTCAGCAGTTAGGGGGTTATTAAAGGGATAGTTTTTGAGCGGGGTGGTATGAGGTACTTAAAGTAAGGGTTACTTTAAAAATGTGCTCTGTACAATTAAATGTTAAAAAATGTAATCAGTAACATCATCTAAGCAGCAAAATATAAAGTAATGTAACCTGATTACTTTCTATTACTTTTGGATTACCTCAATATCAAATGCAATGCAATATCAAATAAATATCAAATAAGATGTTTTTAATTTAAGTGGATTACAACAGAACAATGAAACCTTAGTAAAGAAGAAACAAAGATGTCATTTTATATTAGAGGCATACGGAAAGAATAGTTTACAAATGCTTTTAAATTGAAGGCAAAGTATTTTTGTGTCCACCTAATGTACTTATATAAAGATATTTCAAATAAAGAAGAATGAAAGTATTCTTTATTAAAAACAAAAACAAAATCCAGGCACTAGGTCTACCTCTATAATATTTCAATCTTTATTTTAAAATGTGTTGTAACATTGTAATACCACTAGTCATTTTCGGGTCCTTTTTTAAAAAAATAACAAAGTATGATAATCTGATAGCGTCTTTTTTTGTGCAACTCTAAGGGAATACAGTTAGCGCTTTCTGTGTCCTGATTAGTTACTCCCCAGTAGATGAGTGCCAGAAAGCAAAAAGGCCTAAAAAGACCACCTAAAACATGTAATATCAGTAATACCTTTGCTTTGCCTACAAGGGGGAACTGAAGTCATTATGTATGCTCTCTTCAAAGCCAGACTCCTTTGACAAAAACAATCATTCAAACTTGGGAATACATGAGCTGCTGGCCTACCGCTCGACTGTTTAGTTTGTCTATGGTATTTTGTGACTTAGCGCTCTAACCCTTTTCGCCCACTTTGAAGAGAGCATTGATTACAACTTCTGGTTGAATATATTGTTCACTGTTTTTTTTGTGATTATAGAAGACATATTATGCTCATTTTCAGGATGAATAATTGTATATAGTGCCTCTACTGTGACATCTTTACATGCTTTAATGTTCAGAAAGGTCTTTATTTCTCTCGACTGCTTTTCCCCCTCTGTCTGAAACACTTCAGTGCTTCTAAACTGCAACCTTGATGTTTGTAAAGAGTCTGTTTTGCCAATTGTGATTACTTCATCAAGCAGTTAGTGTACAACAACTACATGTCATAACACGGCATTTCCACTCATTCTGTGCTCTTGTTGCTCGTGCAGGTTCTGACTCTGTGTCGCCCAGTGGACTCCAGGCTGGAGCACGTTGACTTCGACAGCCTGCTGCAGTGCCTCAGTGTCGGGAACCTCCTGCAGGTGTTTGCCTCCCTTCTGCTGGAGAGGAGGGTCATCTTCATCGCTGACAAACTCAGGTACAGCTGCAGAGCCACATCGATACATACTCAATATAGAAGGATGTCATAGAGTGCTGACACAGAGTTTTATTATTAGATTAGATTAGACTCTCCCTTGATGCGTGGCAGCTATACAATACTTGATTACATCACACAGACCTTGCACTAGTGTCAGTTATCTGTGTGTATCTTGGCCTCAATAAGCTAAGCTGTGGCAAAGTCCCAAAGGCAAGTTAAGTCAGGTTTATTTGTACAGCCCAAAATCCCTTACGGCCCGTCTACACTACAGGCATCAAAAAATGCTTTCAACGCTTCGCCCATTCACTTGAATGGGGTGACGTAGAAGATTTTTCATCTTCGCCGAACTGCATTGTGGGGAGCATGGCATGGCTTTGCAAGCATCACGAGCATCTATCGGCATCAAAAGTTGAACAATGTTCAACTTTTGACTGGAGACATTTGATACAAAAGAAAACGGAATAAGTTTAGAAATCACCGTCTGATTGTACTTTCTCAAGACAAACAAAACCAACCGTCTATTGAGTGACGTGATAGTATTTTAACATCTCTGAGTAATTTGAGGAAACAATAGGGTTGTGTTCCAATAGCCTTGATTAATTTTGCATTAATTTATTACTTCCGTATAAAATAGTATTTCTTTTGTGAACTTGACATGAAGTACTACATGCATTAGCTACAAAAAACGTAGACTTGTTGGGAATGTTAAGAATTGTGGGCGACAGCTGTCTCTCTGTCGACATGTACATTAAACGTAACTAAACTTAAGAATGAATACTATTACGTTGTTCTGTGCTCGTTCGGACATATGGATGATAAGGATCTCCGACCGACTCAGTGTATAACCACTAATGTATAAAGTCGTGTGCCCGCTTAGCTCAGTTGTCTTCAAGTCATTTAGTGTCTGAGCTGCTTCGGACTTCCTCGTAGTCTCTTCTTTGTACAAGAGCTCATTTATATTGGGGAAGTGGTTTAATTTTGATAGAAATTTCGAGTTGTGTGAAACAGGGACCCTACTATTTTTGCCTCGGTCAGAAAACCTTAGGACAGTAACCGCCCCCGGCTTTCTAGTTTTGTTTGTTAAAAACTCCATTTTATCTGTCCAAAGAATTACATTGTATAACAATGAAAAATTTCTAATGAAACCGGTCATGGTCATGTACCCGGCGTCGGAGGTTACTTCGAGATACCGCCGGGATCACGATTTATAGTTGCACAAACGTATAATCAGGGATGACGTTCGAACGAAGGACTGTCTTTGGACAACCACAGCAGTCGCCAAGGGTAACCTTTTTCCCTCTCCGGAAGGCTTCCGTGACATAGCAAGTCCGGTTTGCCGGGGACGAAGGTTGGAGAACGTTTCCATTACGATTGTATTTCGCCTTCGAAAAACAAACCCTCTACTTTTCGCCCGACGGAAACGTTTTTTCAGTTACCCTGGGGGAGATCTTCACACACCTTATCGACGACCCCGGAACTTTGAGGAAACATACATACTCCTACCTTACTGATTGGATTCTTCGTATTAGGCTCGTTAGGGTACACCCACACGGACTTAAGGATATGTAGCGTCGGACCCACGTGTGGTAAAATGTCACCGCCTAATAAACGTTGTCACTTTACACCTAATCGTTCCTCCTTTTGTGTTTTTTTTGAGCGCGGTGAGTCTCTCTCTATTTATTGTAATTATGGGTTCTTGAGTGTGTGTGTCTCTGTTATAGGTCACAAACAGAAAGACAGACGAGTCTGACCCCCCACTCTCCGGCGTCCGCTTCTAGAGGGGTCGCGACCAAATGGTAAAATTGTGGTCGCATTACCTCCGGGGGAAAGTCGGTGGCCCCCGGTGTCGTGTAGTTTCTCGAGACGGACCGAGTCCCTTACCAGTGGACTTTGGTGCTTTTACCCGTTTGCTAACTATCACAAAAACAAGAGCGATTGGTGTAGAAAGCGTCTGACGTGTTACTGAGGTCTTACCCTGCCAAACACCCGTTTGTTATCCCCATTCTCGTTATTGCGCGCGAACTTTCCGTCAACCCTGAGGTCTCAATAGGAATAATTGTCTGGTTGTTTAGTAGTTCAGCATTACAGTAAGTGAACAACGTCTAAAGATGTTATCGAGTTCATTATTTGTAGAGCTCCTCAGTATCCTTCACCGCGTCTTGTGCCGAAAGGAGAGAAAGTCGGTCAATCCCCCAATAATTTCCCTATGCAAACACTCGCCCCACCATCCCTCCATGAATTTCGATTCCAATGAAATTTTTACACCGAGCATGTTGTAATTTAATTTTTTACATTGAGTGTCATTTGTAGTAGATTCGTCCGGTTTTTCTTTTCATTACATGGCTAATGCAAGATTAATTGATAAACCTATGGGAGTTATAGGTTTCGTTACGTTATAGTTATTATAGGTTTATTCTGATGAAAATTGAAATTCACCTAATGTTGTCTGTGTTGACTTTGTGAATCATTCCGTGGTCTCTTTCGTTCTACAGTAAAATATAATCTCCGTATGCCTTTCTTTGATGTTTCCGAAATTTTAACTTCCGTTTCATAAAAACACAGGTGGATTACATGGACCGATATATAGTTTCTATAAAGTTTATTTTCTTCTTACTTTCATAAGAATATTGGTTTGTCTTTGTTTTAGGCCGTGAGTTCCAGATGGGAGGATATTTGTCAAGTTAGAATACAATTTTACACGAACATTGTAACATTATGGTGGGATCAGTAAAACCAGGAAAAAATTTTTTTTTATTGTTCATACTATTAGACTATCGCAGAAAAAAACACGTTGAGATTCCCTTCATGTTCAATCGCGGAAGACACAGGAGCTAATCAATGAGGGGTCATCTACTCACGGTTCTTTCGTTTTTCCGGTTTTTCCTGGTGGAATTTTGGTACATATCAGTCATTATGGAAACGGAAAACGGATGTTTCCCCCTTGACTTAGTAATACATACGGAGAGTTTTCCGGTCTGAGGAAAGACTGTTTTTGTTGTAAGTTGAACCCTGTACTCGCGACCGGGATGGCGAGCGACAAATTCAAAGCGCATACCATACCAAACACTGAATCGCAGATTGCGAAAAGCGGTCGAACTTCCTCGTAAACTAATACTTGTGTGAAGACAGACTTTATAACAAGTGACAAAAAACACGCTATAATTCCTGTATAATACGAGTAAAAGGTCGCTTACTTATTCGATATATCACGGAGGATGGCACTGGTAGAAATCGTGCGACGGCAATTACAAGTCTTTCCGAAATAAAGAGACGCTGATCGAAAAGCGGTGGAGGACAGACTTTGTGCAAGTCCCGAAGATTGACGTTGGACTTCAAACTTTCTCACGCAAAAGCGCCGGTTAACACTAATGAAGTAGTCGTCAATCCATGTTGTTGATTGTACGTATTGTGCCGAGTGAGTAGACACGGACAACTCTGGCACGTCCAAGTACCTGGCACAGGCGGTCGACGAGGTCGTCCCGTGAATGAAGCTGTTACGACCCGTCACGGAGTCACAGCCCTGGAGGACGTCCTACTACGGTAGGAAGACGACCTCTCTTCCCAGTAGAAGAGCATGTTGTCCATATCGCACGTCTCGGGTAGCTATGATGAGTTATTCCTAAGTACTCACGACTGTGTGTCTCAAAATAATACTCAACTAAGGCTGAGAGGAACCGCACGTCGATAATTGTTTGACTATGTTAGTGTGTCTTGAAATCGTGATCTCACTATAGCATACATAGAACCGGAGTTTTCGTTCGACACCGTTGGTTCCTGTTCAATTAGGTCCATAAAATGTCGGTTTTGGGAGATGTCCCGTGCAGATGAGTGTCCGTAGTTTTTACGAAGTTGCGAAGCGGGTAAGTTCAACTTACACATGATTTCAAAGTAGGAAGCCGGCTTGGCGTAACCCCCTCGTACCGGTACCCCGACACGTTCGTTGTCGCATCGAAGATTCTGGCCGTAGTTTTCTTGTTACAAGTGTTTTCCGAGCTACGAACCGTTTGTGTTAGTTAGGGCAAATACGTGTTTAGGGCGGTCACGTCGGCGTCCCGGTTAGTTCTGGCGCACGTTCGACCCTTCTCGGTCTCGCGGCGTTGTAAGGAGTATTAGGTTTGTCTCTATAATGTCCGTTAGTGGGGCCAAGAAATGTCTGGTCTTGATATTGTCCCTGGTTTGGCCTCCTTGTCCGCCTCTTCCACCCGTCTCTGTCATGTCCCATCCTTGTCGGACAAACCCCTCATAATTGGTCAAATGAAGCAATAACTGGTTGTCGCCCTGTGTAGGTATTCCAAACCACCGCAACGAGTGTTTTTAGCGTTCGATGTGTTTAGCTAAAAACTACCGGGCATCTGCTGTGCATCAGGTCACCGAGATTGCCCATTGTGTTTGTTTCACGACTGAGTGGGCGTTCCGGATACTTCGCCCTTTCTGGAATGTGTCAATTCATATTGTAGGAACAACGTAATAAATGATCCATTATTTGTATTAGCTTTGTTTACATGTCACATATTTTGCTAGATGACTTGTACAGACGTATGTATTGTTCTCGATAGCAACAGTAATGTATGTAACCGACTGGAAAAGGTCCGCTGATGTGTAAGCGGCCTCTGTTGGAGTAGAGTCCAAATGTATCTCCCGTTTGTGTGTGTTGACCATATCTTGTGGTCAGAAATACATAGTCGTTTCATCGTGAATCGTCAAAGAAATCAATCATTAGATAGTGTTTTTTCTTATCAAAGTCTGTGTGTGCCCGGCCTGGCGACATCGTGTACTGTACGGATGAGGTAGCGTTAGAAATTCAGTTGGTTCGTGTCACAACTTATATGGACGTCACCGACACAAACTTACTTTTAGTTTAACTTTAGTCCTTTCTCTATCGACGTTGTAGAAGGCGCGTCTGCTTTTGAAGTAGAGAAAAGTTGAGGTGAAAGCTCCACTATCTTAATGATGTTTCTTACTGACGATTGTCTCGTGAAAAATTGAATTATTTCCTGACC